CCTCTCACCCAATTATACCGAGGGATTCAGGATATACCGTGTGCGGGTGGATCGAGTGGGGGTCCTATGGAAGAAAGGCTGTGGATGTCATGTGCAGGTCGATATGGTATCAACAACAAAAGAGAAGCAAGATCCACCGTCATATGCCTCAGATCCCACTTTGCCAAGTCCGGATCCAAGGGATTGAGGATCCCACATGGATCCAGGATATGGAGATGGTGGATGCAACGGATTTCAAACTTTCGTGGAGTGATGGAGACCGCAGACATTCGTAAGATGATGTTGGAAGATTGGAGGACTCAGATCCATGATGAGTGTACACTTGCAGTAAGGTGGATCAAAGTGACCTGGATCCAGGATAGTGTACCCATAATATGGCGACCTTGTTATGATTACGCCATGGATCCGGTGGTCTGATGCTGACACAGCTGGGGTGATGCACCAAGGCGAAAAAGGGCATGCAGCCGAGCCTGGTTGGGGATTTAGCAGGTAAAAGACATAGAGGGTAGAAATCCAGGCAGGTATAGGCTTAATTATGAATCAAACTTCAATTTGCACAGCATCACGCAAGTGCCTTCCTGTCCTCAAGAATCGGAACTACATTGGCCGTACGAGCTCGGTGAAGATTGGGAATTGCGAATCTAGTGCTGGTAGCGATAACTGGATAATACATTGGCCAGATCCTACCACCTAGTGAGCTTTCGGTTACACATGCAGATCCGAAGGGTTAACCGGATTTACTACTTAGCCGGGTATAACTAAGAAGCTCTCAACTCTCAAGATCCCGCTATAGGAAGCGGCAAGCACGACGCAAAGGCAAGGAAACACACCCGCAAGGCAACCTTACGGCCATAAACCAGATCTAGGCCCCGGATCCACCAAGCTCGAATATTCGCTTGGGATCCAGAAGCAACTACGGACGCAGAGTGAAGAGCTTACCACAACTGCTCCGCACCATCCCCACGTCTCGCCTAGACACTTAAGCTTCACCACTTGAACTCTTCGAACGTTATAGAGAGAGCAAGATCCCGCCCTACCCACGGGTACACAAGGTGAGGAAAGTTTAGCAGATCACGGATTATCGGGGACCCCTCCGTTAGTCGGTGTCTTGGTGCTGTTGGTAAGTTGGATCCAGCAATCTCGCAGATTTTGCTAATCCCGCTACACCACAGACTAGCCTTTGGTACGGTGAAGGAAGCATCAATGGTCCTCAATGGACCTGAGCGTTTGGGTTCGATGAACTCGCGCAATGCGGTGTCGCTCGCAGTTCTATGGACAAAATGGCTGTGCCGAACATAAGCCACATCCCGGACTTTGGTGTGGCAAGGCTGGGAAGGGCCTACCAGTCCAGGTCTATGGCGGAGCATTAGTGAGACATGTTCCCACCTCCGTCATGCCTTGGGCGTCTGATACAGACCGCCAGGACGCAGAAGCGTCACGGAGCTGTCAACAAGCCGACAGATCTAAGTACAGCAAGCCCATCCTCCGCTGCGGCAATGCCACGGGCGTGGGTGTTTTGCCGGCGGGTGGACTTGCTACATCAGCGGCGGTCAAGGACGAAGGTGGCCGCGCCGTACGGGCTTCGACAGTGGTTATGCCTATTAACGCTAACCAGATGGGTAACTTAGGACACCACGGTCGCCCAGACTATAACTGAAGAGAAAAACGCTAGATGCGCTTTCTGTGTGGGTAATACGGTACCCCATGCAGTCGCCCATAATATAATGGAAGAAGAAGGCATTGGTCATGCTTCCTGTGTGGGTAACACAGTACCACACGCTGTCACCCAGACTATAACGGAAGAGGAAGGCATTGACCATGCTTCAGGTGTGGGTATCACAGTGCCACACGATATCTCGAGTGCCTCTGATGTCGTCAACGAGACATCACGATGTGGGTAACGAAGTGCCTCGTCACGTTAGCCACCGCACCTTGTTCAGGTCGATGTCGCTTCAAGCGACTCGGAGGCCAGGGCCTGGACTTCTCTGAATTGGTCGGTGGACACCAACTCAGTCCGGTGTGTGTGCGGGTCTGCCACACCGGCCGATCCCAACACGGAAGTTCGTCGCGCCGTATGGGCTTCGATAGAAGTTCCGCAAGCAGCGAAGCAGCTTAAGGAGACCGATATTCGGTGCTCCGAGCGTGGGTAACAGAGTTCCACGCAATATCACTCAGACCATAACTGATTAGGAAGTGGCTGTATGCGCTTCCGGTGTGGGTAAAAGAGTTCCACAACCAAGGCAAGTAACATAGTTCCACACCGGGCTGGATGCCTTCGGTCGGCACGTCCGCCGCGACCGTCCATGCCGGCGCAGTGCACGAGGTGGATAGCCGTCGTGCCTGCCAGTGGCTATCACAAGCCACCGGAAACTCAGTAGGCTCGAGGTTAAGTGGAGGAGAGGCTCGGGAATACCTTTTCTCCCTGACTTTGCATGAGGCAAGTAGCCGTCGTGCTGCCAGCGGCTAACACAAGCCACGAGAGATTCAATGGTCTCTAGTGTAAGTAGGGGGGAGGCTTGGAAATACCTTTCCTCCCTGATCTTGAGGTAAGCCCGATTTCCTTACGGAACCAGGCGTCGATGTAGATCGGCCGCAGGCTGGAGGCAAAGAGCCGGGCTAGAGCTGTGGTAGCTCTAGCCAAACAGGCTTGAGTGGCGACGGAAGCCACTGACGCAAGGTGCCTCGGAATCGCTGAGAGAAGCAGCAGTGTTGTGGCCGCATGCAGCCACACACGCGGCAAAGCGTGGACCTGGTACAATCACCGCAAAGGTCCCTTGGTCGTGAACGACCTGTCGAGCAGGGTGAACGGAGCGTCTCACCCGCTGATAAAGCGGTTGTGGTACGTGAGGTACGCAACGCGCCGGGTATAATGGGCCGTGGAGCCATAACCCAAATTTGGTGCACGAGTGCACACACAACTGACCAGGTGGTGTTCGAGGCAACGCACGCAGTCATAACTGGTGTCGCACCGAGCATGACACCGTGGTAATGGCTCCTTGCTATACCATGGTTCGGTACCGGATGGGTACTCGGTGTCAATACAAGACACCAACGCCGTAGTGGCATGGTGGTGAGATATGCCCCGCCACGGTCGAGTACCATCAAGGTACATGGTGTCTATGACAGACACGGGTATGGGTGCAAAGGATATGCGCCATACCACGACCCGATGATGCTCTCGGCGTATGTTCTGTGAGTCAGTGCATGTACCGTGCATCGGCACTGGCTGCTGTCGAGCAGCATGCCGGGATTTCCGCGTAATGAACAGGTCGTGCATGACACACATGAAGTGCACGGAGCACTTATCGTAGCTGTGTTACGTGCCGTACACAACGTAACTCGTGTACGGGTCCGCGGACCTGTACACTGTGCTTGCACATGCGTCGTGCATGATGGAAGCACTGGCCATGAATCTGTTCATGTGACAGCGCAGCAGAGGCTGTTGTCGCCAAACATGGCAACCTTGTGGCGGGCGTGCCGCACCAAAGGATAGTACCGGAAGGTACATGTTGTCAATGAGAGAAACCTGCACCACGGCTGAGTATCACGGTACACGGTGTCGATGAAGGACACCTACGCGCCGTTGGCATGACGGCCAAGACGACAAGAGAGCGTGTTAAATGCTACGCCGGCAAGGATGGGTCCTTGCTGGAGCCAAATGCATGGCCCGAGGTGAGCAGAGAGCTCCCTCTAGTGCTGGGGCAGGTGTTGCCCTTCTCGGTGTCGTCCCTCACGGGAGACACCATGCTCCGCGAGGACTGTCGTATCCTCTGGTGCGAACGGTGGGCGAATGTCACACGTTCGGATGCTATTGCACCCTGTGCCAAAGCACTGTACGCGCGGTAGCGCAGGAGCTAAGGTAACTCTGATTGTAGATCTTATGACTAACACAGTTGTGAGCATAGGAATGCAAATCCCAGTGGGCTTTGGCAGTACAAGGCACTGTGGGTGTGACTGAGAGCCGTGCCAGTCTCGTGGCTGATCATTGTACTAAAACACCCAAAGTGAGAACTCACCTTTGGGTGCTTTAATTCTCACTTCTGATTGGAGAATCAGGTGATACTCAGTTAAGTGGGGGAGGATGAAACGGGGTACAATCCAGTGTACCACAGGCTACATAAAGAGTGACCCGTCACTCTTGTGGGTACCTGGTACACGGTACCAGATGGTCAAGGAGTCAGTCAGGGCATGACAACTTAGCTCCACTATAGATAACCTCTAGTTTGTATGGAACCCAAGCTTAGCTTACTTATAAATACATCAGACTTACATCACTGAGGCCGGGAATAACGCTCACTTCATCTGTGCAAGGTGCTGTATGACCCCGTCACATAATTCATGTCTCCCCAGTTTGTGACGGATTTTCTCTCTGTTTCTGTGAGCTGGAAAAGTCTGTATCAGGTTTTATATTTTTGTGATTTTTGGATGAGCCCCATTCTGTTTTGATTATTGGGCATGCCCAAGTCTACAGGTGAGTCACAGTGAAGACATCGAGCAAGGATCAACGTGCTATAATTGGTGCATCATCAAGGACATGACGTCGGAACTGCAATGATATCAGCTAGCTCCTATAACTGTTTAATAACAGTACTTGAAGTAGCGCTTTGAAAACTGATTCAACGCAAAAAATACGAGGCAAAGTGACGCATTCTACATGTAAGTTAGGAATGCTGTACTACAGCCTGTAGCGCCTAGTTAAGCTTTACATAGTAACAGGTGGTAGGATACTTCCGACCGTCACATCGATGCTTTCTTTTCAAAAATGTTCATTTACGTTTGGATCAGTATATGTGCGACTTTCATAGCTTTCTGCGGTATTACTTGTACCCAAAAACGTATCGTGATGTACTTACAAACGGCATGCGTTGTGTGTGCTTCTTGCCGCTGTCTTCGGTCGAAAACGGAAGCTCCAGCTGCACTCACACTTCAATAGAAAAAAACATGAAAATTATCGAGAATTCATGCGTGCAATGGATTTTTGTCTTGCAACCTAGAGCAAATCAAGGGTCGAACGCTTTAGCCAGCGACCTCCACATGATGTGCGAGTCGTTAACCGCAGCGTAGTCCAATGTGTCTGCATTCCACATGCCTACACCACGCAGTTGAAGTTTGCGAACAAGTGCGTACTTAGCTCTAAGACTACGTGGGTTGTCGAACCAAATCTGGGATCTTCCGCCCTCCGGTGGCGAGAACCACACGAACGGGGTCAGTGTTGTCGGGTCCCATTGCTCGACGAGACTGTGGCCTTTTACCAGTCGTCGGATGTCACCGTAGTCGATTTGTCCACCAGCCGCGTCACTGCAGGGGGCACCAAAGAACGGCACCGGTCGGATCTGGCACCGTGATGTGTCGACAATTGCTGGGCCTACTTGCTGCCCTTGTAGGCAAGGGTAGTGATAGCCGTACCATGGCACACCGAGCACCAGCTTACTTGGCATTATGTCGTACGCGAACAGGAATTCCTGTAGCCCTTGTTTCACCAGTGCCAATGGAGAATTGGCACCTGCAACGCACGCATCATACACTTGACTGCGCATATCATATGACATGACAATCAGAAAGTCCGCGGCAGCGGCAAGTTCCCGCCATGGATAGTAACGACCATCCACTCCACGAGGAGCCCACGGAATGTCAAACGTTATCTGTGCAGGTCGAGTGTGACATTATGAGAGCCCGTGTAGTGGACCAAGGAGTGCATAATGTGCTGAGGTAACAAACCTGTGCGTTCTGAGTCAGCGCGTGCTGATCTAGCCCATGGCGCAGCTCGCGCACGAGCGAAGCGAGGCACTGGGATTTGGTCCCATGCATGGGTTTCTCCGTGTCGATATTGACGCCGTCCGCGTAGTTCTTCACAATTCTGTTGTACGTAGTCTATCGAACGCAAGCACAGTACCGTACTCAGTAAGCACTCTCCAGTTCAAATACCAGTGGGATAACAAGATCGACAACTTTACCTTGATCCATTCCTGACGCGCGCTGACATTGCAGAGTTGATTTACGTCGTCAAAGTTGTGCTTTACCACGACCCTCACACCTTTGCTATGGGCATGACAAAGTAGCTCCTTGTCCTCGTTCCAGGCCACTGTCGTGAGCTGGCAGCAGTCTCATTCAGTACCACCACAACCAAAACACATCGTCATTGGCAGCTCGTACCTGGTCCCAATCGTAGTGTTTCCATCGGTCGTCCGTCGCCACAGAGAAGGCGAAAACTTCCTTTCGTGTTTTCTTGCCAGTAAAATCGACGGGTAGACACAATGAGGTGGATTTAATGAGCTTGTCACTGCACGGGCAGTCGTGGAGGCGAGCGCGATCCTCCTGAGTCAGGCGGTCTGCGAGAAATCCCTTCGTGTCGTACACCGGGACGGAGCGTGAGGCGCATTGAGTCGTCACAGCCAGCAGCACTACGTGTAGAGCTACTACATGTTGGCACTGCATGTTCTAGCTCGAAAGTAAGGGGTACATTGTACCACTCGATCTGATTGCCAAAAAGATCGCGTCCCTTCGTAGGCGCACAAATGCGACTACACTGCAACTCGCAGCGCAAGGATGGCCAGTACCAATAGCGCACTAATGATGTGCATGGGCACCGTCAATATGTGGGGCTTCTCGCCCGCGTACGATGTGTGCAGCGGTCTGACGGAGTGGAAAAAGGAAGGAAAAACCTCGGTCATTTCGGGTGCCAACGATGGCGAGCATATAATCCGTGCTCAGCCGATAAACGTGTTGCTAGCTGGCCCTGGGGATGTGCGGCACGTGCTGGCGATGATCGCACGCCGACGTCGATGGGAACCAGCCTCGAAGCACCGACCGGTACACATCTACATTTTCGAGAAAGCCATCGAGACGCTGTCACGAGCTTTGCTGCTCATTCAAGTTGCGCTTGATGCAGATCTTCCACTACGTCAGCGCTGCAACTTGTTTCTGGAGATTTTTGGCAACTCTCGCGTCCAAGTGCGTAATCAAAGTTATCGAGGTCAAACATCTACAGCAGTTTGGTGGGCTAATGCTTCTTTCCCTTTGAATGTTTGATGTGAAGGAGAGGACGAGTGCCTACATCGAAGATCAGGCAAAGCTACTCGTTGACTTCGTGTACAATGATCGCGGCCCATTGGCAGGTCTAATTGACCTCTCCCACTTAAAGCTGCGCACTCACGATGATCTCATCGATTCGTTCCAAAGCTGGTTTCAGCGTGTCACGTTTGACGGTAAAATTTTGGTTCAATCTGACAAATAGGTGATTCTAAGCTGTAACGTACTTGTTCGTAGTTGACACTCTTCGAGACCATCGTCTTCGCCACTATTACGAAGTTCGCTACGATTACCGTGACAACCTCATTGACTGGGATTACACCGTAAGTCGTGCCAAGCAGGTTCTTCGCTGCACAATGATTTCTGACTCTGCTTGCCGCTCTATTCGACAGATGAAGCTTAAGAAAATTGAGAATGCCGATGTAATTCACATTCGCCAGTATCGTGACTGGCGAAACTCTGGTGTGGCCTTTGAATTTGGAGACCAAATGTATACAGTGCCGAACCGCACAATGGCAGCATACACAGAGGTAAAGGTCATTCAAGTCACGGCGAAATGAAAAGATCTGATGCCACTGATCATCGATGGGTTTCAAAATGATAGGCGAAGAATAAGCACCACAAATCCGTGCTGTGCAGAGGCTTGTGGACAGATATCATTGTGAGCCCGTATATCTCGTTTGGAGTTCACTGTGAAAAACCAAACAGATTCGTGGAGCAGCTCTTCGAGATTCACAACAAAGGGACAGGGGTCGAACAGAATCGCCATGTACGTGTTTGTTGCCACACCAATCTCGTTGTAGTACTTATTGCTCACCAATGCTGTAACAGAACACAGTCGAAGTTGCGGTGTACAATGTGCTGTCGTATTTGTACGAGATCGAGACAGGGAAACGATATCAGATGGGAGAGGTACACCGCAGTCTAAAACGTGCAATGCACTGTCCTTCCTCGCTCGTTTGACAAATATTTTGGATTTTTCATCCTAGGAGCATGATATCTTCAGCGGAATTGGCGACACAAATGTTTGTAGTCGACCATCAGGCGACAAACCAGCCCAAGAGCTGGACGATGGCACGAACCAGTCAACAGCAACCAAGGAGTACACGGATTTGTTTTTGCCTCGCGCGATAATTTGTACTAACGGTGGCCATTGTCACTTTCAGAAAACTCCGTAAACAACAAGTGGCAGCTCAAGAATGCACGAAAACTATCAAGGAAACTTTGCAGGGTGTTAAGGTTTGTGTAGCCGCAAAATTTGTATGCATTATTTTGCTCAGATTTTCCGTTTCCAACTTTGCAGGTTGTTCCGCTGACAGGGAACATTGAGGACTTGTTCTCCAAAAAGCGCTATACGGGGCTCTTTGACTACGCGTTTATTTCATCGCAACAATGTCGCACACTTCAACCCTCAGAAGGTGAGAAGCATCAGACAACAGCAGCTATCACAAACATCTTGAAGGACGGTGCGGCCGTTGACATCGAGTCTAGTGTGTAAGTGCACAATTTTTAACTTCATTTGTGGAAAATGCTGATTGATTTACCTGGGCCACAGATTCATGCTCCCGCTTCAAGTGGAGCAAAGAGCGCTCTACGTGACAAAGCTGCAGGAATGGACTGCTTTTCATTCGCTGAAACCCACGTTTGACTTTAATGGCAAGATCGAGCCTTCTAACGACGACATGGCTGAGATCAAGAACACAGTGCTGCGATTTATCTACGGGATAAAGAAAGCGAATGCTGTTTCACCCATCTCCCAGAGCTAACTTTCATCGCGTACTGGAGACCCGTAATTACTGTAGTTCTATTATAGTAGTATTAACAGGAGGTCCAGGAATGAAGGACGAACAATCGAATTGTATACCCTGAAAATGAGCAAGGGTACTTTGTTCGGTATTTGGTAGAAACCGTTATCTATGCTTATGCAAATAATCAAACGCTCATTATCTTCCTTTTTTCGTACCTAAATATCGAATTCACGGTATTATTTCCGCACTTTTTATTCGGTGTGTTTTTTTCCTTCGTAAAATACCATTCTAAATAGTATACCCACTCTATCGAATTTACATGAAAAGCATCTTAGCTTTCCTCTAAGTCAATACATTGCTACGATCATTTCTCTCAAGTGCACTACGTGTGGCTTCCAAACGCCTTGCGAACACTAACGCCGAGAAGCAAGCATAAATACGTTGGTTAAAAGGGAAAACAGAACGCGTATTGCAAGTCCCTATAACAGTACTTGAAGTACATCAAACTAGAACACTCTTTTATATTTGAGTTAACGATAACCTGCTAGGTTTTCACGGGGCATTCGATAACTTAATCTGGGTATTGGTCTTGATTGGCTGCTTCGCCACAAATGCCGCCTCAAATTTAAAATACCACTCCGCACCCTATATCCGAGCGCAATTTTAGAAAAAAAACTAATGGAATAGTGTACCGTATGTTATTTGGTAGAGCCCGTAAAATGCGGTGGTGTGCTTCGTGCTGTTAGAACTTTGATAGTAGCCCTGCTCATAGAGATTATCGGCGATTTAGGCATGCTACAAAGAGACGATCTGCACACAGCCTCTGACCTCCCAATACGAAATCCAAATGAGAAGAATCTTCTTTTGCAGAAGTGGCAGGGTGGTCGGCTGCTGTTGTGTAAGAATACTGGAAAATGTGTTCACAACGCCTAACGATCGATCAGTCGAGGCGTCCTGCTTCGGTGCTCGCATCAAGTAGATGAATTTCACCAGCGTAGTGACTACGCCTTATTATCAAGTTTATGGTAGAAATCTAGCTGATGAAACTTTTATCGAACGCAAGTACCGTTTCCGCAGATATTTGCGGTCCCAGCTTTCCCCTTTAGGACGCTTTTTCGACCTTTTTACCTGGATTGCCTGTTAAAAAAGTGTGACATAAGGCACCCTTTAACTCTTAGAACGCGACCGAGGGGTTCCTGCCCCCCCCCATCTACTTAAACCCTAGCGACTATAACGTGTGTGCGCGGGTAAGGTTTAACTATTCTATATGTTTTCTTATATTGTGTAGTGCATAGCCGTTGATTAACCTAACCGTCGGCTTTTACGTGACCCTAGCCTGTATAATCGTACATGTCTACGAGGATATCGTAAATGCCTCGCACCAACATAGGTACGGGTGCGTGATGAAGAAAAAGCTTCAGCGCATACATCAGCTCGTGCAAAGTACATAATACCAACACTATGGACAGATGTAATTGAAACAAATGACGTGATTTTTAGCTGTACTCAAACCATGTCAAAGTGGACGACCGCTACCAGCTCTTCAATCAGCCTCTGCAGTCAGGTGATCCCGCTTTAATTGGATTGAGCCGTCCTCCGTGGACTCACCACCTGATCCCTCACTCATGCGCTTGGTGGCTTGCTTGTGCACGGATCTCGCGCTTCTGCCCGCCTCTTGGCGCTGGCGCCAGCCTGCCATTGCGCCAGGCTTTATGCCTGTTATCAAAGCAGGACATCAGTTCGCGGCTCACCATGTGCCGTTTCTTCTCGCAGAGGAAGTCGCGCCACGATAAGGCCTTTTTATGCACTTAGCAGCTTGCACTTGCTTCAGTAAGTTAAACCTTTCACTGCCGGCAAAGTTGGGTTCTTTAGAGGTCCACGGTGGGCCTCTAAATCTGATATTGGTTCCTTGTTATTGGCCAAAACAAACTGGCGGACATACCTACCCCATATGACGGACGCTTACAGGTCCACCGAGTACCTGCAAGAGACCGTTTTCAAATCAGTACCGTAATTTCCACAACATCAGGGTGAACCAATCGTTTGCTGTGGCGCGAAACCGGAGTTTGCCAGTAACCGCCAGCTAACCGCCATTCTACAAACATCGCGCCAAGTCTGACATGGGCATCACGGAGCTTCTAAACGCTGTGGACAACGCTACGAGTGACTGGGAATTTGACGACGATGAAGCTAACCTTGCAGAAGAGGCGGAGGTAGAGTGTGGCGAGGGGTCCCAGCCTGTACCAGTCCCGGCGCGTCGTACTGACAACGAGTACGTAGGCAATCTGCTTCGTGACAGCGGTCTTCAAATTATCAGTGAGCGAGTAATCATGCTAGTCTATAAAGAGCGGCAAGAGCTCCGTCTCGTTTCTCTTTTTTAACTTGATTTTCAGAACGCTTTGTGATGCTGGACTAACCAAAATCTAAGTGAAAAAGGAAAAAGAACTTTCGTCTTACGTCGAAATATATGGGTTGTTTTGGCCTGGAAATTGCCACCAGTATCGCTGCATTCACAGAGCTAGCTAAATTTGTGTCGACAATTTTTTTCTTGGTTAGAACGATTTTGCGTCAACTGTGGTGTAGTGATTTCTCCGTAGTTGCGGATTATCACCCGTCGACAAAGACGCGACACCCCCCAAGATGTTCAAGCAACGAACCCTCGGCCATGTGATGTACGGAGACGCCAAGGTGCAAGGGACTCGACGGCGTCACTCCCGAGCTTTCAACAAGTATCGGATACGGCTATATGTCACTGAATCCAGGCTGTCCTTATTATTAATAGTGGACTGGCCGGATTCGCATTCAGCGGACCATCTACGGTACGAACCCTCAGCGGCGGTTGGGATGAGTTCGCGGAAGACTCAGCGACCCTTGGAAGGCACGTTCACCGTCTGGGACAGGGCGCGGACCGTTAAAGATGCCCATGCGACGGTGCAGACGACGCTTGGTGTGCAAGAAGATCCATAACGGATCATTGTTCACTTGATATTTGTATATTTGATTAGGACTTCTTATTAGGAATAGACCCGAAAGGGTAAGCTTAAATACAGAACAGAATTTCCACTCAAGCACACAGAGCGACGTCCGGCTTCAAGGTAAGCGTCAGGTCAAGTGTGTTATGCCTGTCGGTGGGCTCGAAGCTCTGTAGCGAGGGTTCATCCGGCAAGGCCAAGAGACTTTGTGTACTAGCCGATTACTATCGGGAGGTTTTACGTGACGGCTTATTGTTGCCTATTTGCACGACTGGGAGTGCTTGTATTGCATCCCTTTTTATCCTTCCAACCGAGTGTTGAACACTCGGTGATCTCGTAAAGGGCTTACCCGTGCCTGGTACCCTTCCGCTGTTGGGACCACGAGGGTTCATAACACCTGCTAGCTTTGCTCGTGCTAGTAGCGTGTTCTTACTTTTATTGGTTGGCCTATATAAGTTGTTTACAAGGTCCAGTTTGTTTCGGTGCAAGGGCAGAACTGGGGTCTTCAGGTCCGCCCGAACGATTACTATCCTAGTAGACGTATTGTTGTGAAAAACATCCTAACTACATTTGTAGCTAGAGTTCACGTGGGATTTCCAACACCACAACTGGTGCCGCGACCCGGGAACAGATTGTGACCATTGTGAACTGTTTGTATGGCCTTCAAGTTTACGAGCTACCTAGAGAAGAACAAGAAAAAGAAAACAAGAAACATGGCGAAAGGACAACCGACGGTACCAGCGACATCTGCCAAGTCTGGCGGGGCTCGCAACGAGAGTTCAAGCCCGGCTGCGCGCTTTGCAGCCGCCACCGAGCTTTCAGTGAGCTTCGACGACGAAGCGGACATCGGTCCTGACGCCCACGATTATGAAGATTACGAAGACAAGACGCCGGCTCCAGAGCCAGGCGCAGCGACGCCGGAGACGGCCACGCTATCATCGGGGCTGAGCGGGGCGACCAGGTCCCTTTCGAGGAACCTCGCCGACGAGCTCGATGATGTTGCGGGACCGGAACCCGCCTACGAAGATTGTGACGATGGGACCGAGGGTTCTAAGCCTTCGGTGGCGAGTGCAAAGCATTCAGCACTGCTGAAGACACCTAGCCCACCCATCAACGGTGATACACCAGCCTAAAGCGCGTTTATGACCGCGTACAAGCGCTGATGCAGAATGATGAGTGGATGCAGCTGTTCAAGCCCATCCCCAAGCAAAAAAGCCGACTGGCCTGCGCTTGCGCAGGAACTTCAATACCCAGTCAACTCTGTTTCGACTAGCCAAGTCGCCGAGGATTCAGTTTCGCTACTGTTGTCGCTGGGCTTCGAGAACGAGACGTACCCATCGACGATGTCGCTCCAAGATTGGAGTCCACATGAAGCCGGGGCTGCTCTCCAGAAATGGAAGAAGAAGCTTCGGAAGGCGTTTGGCGCTGTTGGCATCAACGCCGGAAAGCAGCCTGTGAGTCGACCTATGATTCAAGATGAAGATCCGTCCACAATACCACTGCCGTCGACACCCCAACGACGCGTTCGTACTCCTCCGACCAAGCGTGGAGCTGAGCGTGGTGCCTTTGGCACTACCGAAGCTTCACCGTACTTTCAAGACTCGCACATGGTTACGCCACGTTCGGAGAGCCGTATGCAGCGTATTTACGCTGGCAACGAGGGTTCGTTCGGTTGCCGATGTGGCCCGCGAGCTCCCAAAGGTGGGGCCGGACGTCGTCAAGTTGACAGCGATGGTTCGTCCAGTGACGATGACATTTTGGTGCGTACATTCGACGAGGAAGATCCTCAAGTCGAGTTGATGCGTCAGATGAATGAGCTAGCGACGCTGAGCGACGTGGACCCGACACCGAGGATTGAAATGGCTTCGCACCGACCGCTGGATCGCATCACGCCGTTCTCAGGCTCTCGCAACAAGAGCGAGAACTGTATGCAGTGGCTCCGTGGGTTCGTCTATGAGATGACTGGAACCCACACAGATGCCGACAAATGGTGCATTCCATTTGAGCTAAGTCTCCGGGACGGAGCCATTCATTGGTTCCGTCAAC